TTGTTTTTAATCATAGAATACTAGAACTGGAAGGGACCTTGAGAGGTCATCGAATCCAGTCTTCTGCCCTCATGGCAGGACCCAGTACTGTCTAGACCATCCCTGATAGACATTTATCTAACCTCCTCTTAAATATCTCCAGTGATGGGGATTCCACAACCTCCCTGGGCAATTTATTCCAGTGTTTGACCACCCTGACAGTTAAGAACTTTTTCCTAATATCCAACCTAAACGTACCTTGCTGCAGTTTAATCTGGCTCCTCGTGTGTGCGAGGTTGAGTAATTATTACGGATGTCAAGATATAGTCAACTACATGATTAACCAATGAGCCTAGATTTATCTTAAAAGCCAGCTCTCCACAAGCACTGGCTCCCATCTGCCCCTGTGTGTAGAAGTGTAACTGCTGAACTTCAGCAGTTACAGGTTTACAGAAATAAACTAATTTTAACACTCCTAATGGAACTAGACTTAACTTGATGTCATTTAATGACTTGGAGGGATGTGTTCAATGTTTCTGCAATACTAAATTGGGTGGTGTCAGCTGTATCTTGTATAAAGGCCCAGAGTAATGGAAAAATGAGCAGAAAACATTCTCCTTTGAGCTAGAAAATACAAACTAATGTGTCTGGGGAATAAGTTTGCATTGTAATATGTCAACAAAACAAGGGTGGATCTTAAAAAAATCAGATTAGCTTTTTTTTAATAAAGCTGCTTTCATACTTAAGCAGGAACTTAAGGTTTAAACTTGCCATCTATTAGTAATTGAGTGTGTTTGCTAAGCTCTTAAACAAAATTCTGGACTAATGGAAGTCCCTGAGTAAGCATCTGGAACAAGTTGGTTGAAGTGCTCAACCATTTTTTGACCGCAAGAGCTCATGAAGATGCAGTGAACACTAGCATTTATTTAAGTCATTCAGTTTAATGACTGAAGACAAGGAAGGCTTGTTTTTCCTCTTAGTCTAAGAAATACAAACTGGGACTCTCTAGTTTAAACTGTTTTTGGTCACCACCTCCTTCAACCTTTTCCAAGTGAATGCTATTGATACTTGCATAAGAAAAGTTTATTAAAACAATGAATTGGCACACTTCAGAAAGCTTTATTAAATTATGCACAAAACCAGTAGTTAGGTGGAAGTTAAATACAGCTTAAACAATTTTACTAGTAAACTATATATAATCGAAAATGAATGATGCACCTGTTTAACAGAATTATTTAGACTTAAGATTTTAAGTTATGCAATTGCTTGGATGTATGTAGATACCAAATTTAGTGCAGAAGCTATACTGCTGTGTTTACACTAAATGGAGGATTGATGCTCCGGAAATCTATTTTTCAGCATTTGACTCGGCTTTAGCATGTTCTCACCAGACCTGCTAATGCTGAGGGCACATCTGTTGACTCCCGAGCTCATTGCAGTTGTGGGGAATAAGGGAAGTTGATAGGAGAGTTTCTCCTGTCAGCCTCCAGCTGTGGGGCTATCCCAGAAAAATCAATGAAGGGTATGTCTCCTCCAGCTAAGCAATTCACGTAGCTGGAGTTGCGTATCTTGCATTTATTTTTGTCCGCTAGTATAGACCTGGCCTCCGTTGCAAATCACTGTGTTCAATGAGTAAACATTCATTAGTAAACATTTTTTCCTAAAAAGTCTTACATTTGTACTCTAAAACTAACTTTTCTTTTAAATCCAGGTTTCCTGCTTGCTGATTTTAAATGGCTGACTTAAATCACCTTGCTGGATTTGAATCCAGAAAGCCCTACAATTTGAGGGAGTATAGAGTGAATAGCTGTGTATAGCCCCCATAGTGTAACTACAGCTCATCTGCTCTAAGTACCTTAATGCCAGAAGAGTATTAATAAAATATAGTTGAGAGAAGAACAACAAATGACTAGGGCAGGGCTGGGTAAAATATGGCCTGAGGGCTGGATTCAGCCCACCAAGGCACCAGATCTGGCTCGTGGAGGCAGTGGGGAGCCCCAGGCAGGCTCCCTGATTGCCTTGCCCCACCTACATGCTGCTCAGAAAAGCGGCTGCTGGGCCATTTCTCTGTCTCTGCTGAGTGGGGGGGTGGGGGGCGG